TAGCTCTAACTATTAGGAGCTACAAAACTCCTGTTGCTAGCATCTGTTGTATTTAAAATAATGGGAAGTATAACATGGGATGGGAAGACTGTTCACAATGTAACTACTAATGTATAAAGTAATGCAGTCATAGGTTTCTTCACCTGCTCCCTTTGTCTGAATCAATTTTCCAGGCACTAACTTAAAAAACAAAAACAAAACAAAAAATAATCCCATCAATATGATTCATGGAACAGAACTTTAAAAAGTTTTATCTGAAACTATGAAATGGAAGAGATTTTCAATTTCTAAGCACTCTTCTGTCCCTGCAGTATGTGCATACACATTTGTGATAGATCAATTTTGCCAAAGAGGCTCTTTAAAAATTAAATCAATGGCTAGTGCTTGTTCTCATTTCAATTCAAGGACTAAAAGCTCCTGGTGGCTAACTACTGCTTTCTAACCAGCAGAGGGAAAACTAGACATTTTTGTGAGAGTATGAAATCTGTGGTTTGAGCTGAGTTTCTGGTGAATTTAATATTTTTAAAAAGTGAATACCAAGATCCCCCCACACCTCCATCAGATTACATCAGCTTAGAGCAGGGGAATTCTGGGATTAAAATCTAAATATAATGTTCATAACAGTTTCAAAACAATGCACGTACCCAATCCACAACAGAGACAGTTTGAAATCCCTTCAACCAATCACAACAGAGATAGTCTGAAATCCCTTCAAGTATTATTATTCACATTTGTCTTTTAACAATGTGAACTACAGAAATAAGGCAGAACTTTAATGTGAGTGAGCTACAAGAAGTAACACAGCCCTCCTTAAAGAAAACACCTGAGTAGGTGTTGTATCAGCATATTCCTATTGCTTGCTGGTATGTATTGAGTTAAATTGCCTTAGCGCTATGGAATTCATGAGTCAACTGTGTGCATAACCTTTTAAATGAAATATTATTATTTTGGCCTTAACATTTATTTGTTTAGAAATTTATACTGGCAACATCACCATCTGTGCCCCTTGCTTTATTATTAAAAGCAATCAATTATAGAACTAAGACACCAGCTTTTCAACTAAAAAGGTTAGCGGTGAGCCCACTGCAGCATGCTTTTTAAAAATTTTGCTCCCAAGTGCTGCTACATGAATTTAGCTAAAGCAAGAAAAAATGGTGCAACCAAACAACTACGCTTTCAGCAGCCCTCAAGTTTAGAATATGGCTCTGGCAGGCCCTTGGAGAGAGAGTTCCCAGAGGCATATACCCTCTAAGGGCCCCTCTACACAGGTAAAGACATGATGGGGATCTGTGTGTTCCACACAATTGCACCTGCCACCATGCCACACATGCATGGCAAGAGGCATGACTGTGGGATCCAGGATCAAGTCTTGTGACATCTTATCTCTGGGATAGGAAGAGCCTTGGATTGCAACCCTGGGCTCCCCCTGGACCAGCAAAGCTCCCACAGCTGCAGGTGCCACAGTTGGCAGGACTCTCGGTCCTGGATGTGGCCCATGGCAGCTAGGGCTGAGAGTCCTGGAGCTGACAAGACTCAGCCCCAGTTGTGCCCCATGGCTGCAGGGGCTGGGAGTCCCATCAGCTGCAGGGCATTCAGCCTTGGCAGCCATGGGGCACCCCTGCAGATGGGATATCACAGCAGCTGCAGTGCCACTGGCTGCATGGGCAAATTAAAAGCTGGATAGAAACCTGCTATAAAGTTATTACATATTTTCCAGCAATAATTTTATAACTGGTTGGACTTTTTTAAGGTGCTATAATTAATTCCCCTGTGTAGCCAGTCTAAATTAATTGAGCAATTAACTATGTAAATGAGTAATGCACGTAACCTGTAGAGGGGACCTAAGACTGAGATCAACTGAACTTTAAAATGGCAAGAGTGGATTCCTATTCCATGATTCATGCTTTTAAAACAATCTGGAACTCATGCCTAAATATCAGAGTGACTACTGCTCTACATATACCTTTGATTAAATAAAGGGAACATGGCCATCAGATTATATCAGTTTTAGAGCAGGGAAATTCTGGGATTAACATCTAAGTACTGTATAATGTTAAATAACTTAGATGGCCATTGACCACCAAGAGTTTACCCAGGAATAGACAAGACAATAAAACAGTAGATTATAATTCTTGTAATGGGACTGAGAATCTCTTTTAGATAACTGGATCTCAAACAGTTTAGTCCTTTACAGATCATACCCAACAGGCTGAATGACCCTCTAAAGCAACACAAAATATGAACGTACAATATATTTCTCAAAAGGCAGGTTGCTGCATACTTGGTATATCCCAGCTGAAGTTTCTGGATAGCTTACAAGGAGAAACTATTACAATAACCAGCGCTGAAGTTATAAGGGCAAGTTTTGCTGTAGTGCAACATGTAAAAGGCTGGAAAAGATGCAGCCTCTGGTACATGCCATGCCTGGCAACAGAGACTCTATGAGCAATGCGACCTCCAGGTTGCTAACACTGTTGATAAAGTTTGGACATCCCCATCCAAGGAAAGTCATGCTTGCTCCCTCTCCTTAAGTCTTCTTTTTGACAAAAATGAGATGATGATCTGAGGGTTATATTCCTGCCGATAACCCTGCAAGCCAAACCACTGTACCCTCCTCCCATCAAGCACCCAGAGGTATGGACTTGCAGAACTCTATGTATTAAACACCCTTGGTAACAAATTCTTACCACCATACTTTAGGATCACTCCAAAAGTCAGGCAGGCTAGGGAAGGGCCTTTCCATGGCTTATCAGGAATTTCTACACAGCTAAGTAAATGATATTGTAAATTGCTAAAGATCAGAAATGACACCACCTGCATCCAAATGGAAGTAGGAACATAAATTTTCCCTTGGAAGTGAGACCTCTTTTCTTTGAGGCTGTTTAATCACTTTGCTTTATGCACAGGGTGTTAAGGTCTATGTTGTGTTAGGCTTGAGGTTAGTCTACCTATGTAGGGTTTAGCTTATGGTTGTATGGGATGGTTTGGATAGGAACGATCTTGCCTCAGGCAGAGGGATGGACTAGATGATCTCTAGACGTCCCTTCCAGACCTACTTCTATATGACTTCATGACTTTGTAAACTGTTAATTGTAAGCCAAGTGGCAATCCCTCATCTTGGAGATGCATTTGTTTCTACTGTTTCATTTCTACAGCTGAGCTAACCTTCCACCTGACATACCCTGCATCTTCCAGTGGAGCTATAAAGCCAAGTTCCTTTTATAAGCAAATTAATGTTTGAAATTCAAAAACAGAATGACGACACTTTGGCATGGTATGGCATGTCCTGTACATATCATAAACCCAACATTAACTGCAACAGTAGCTAGGCAAGTAAAAAACAAAAGATGAAATGGGAGCAGGAAACATTTCCCTGGACCTAAGGGCTCAACTGAGGTTATGCCTGCCACAAAAGAACAATGATTTGTGTATTATTGTTTGATAAAGTAATACTTTATTTTATTAAACACAGATGTAGCCTCAGGCCCCAAATTTTTTGGACATACATCTTAAAGAATGAACAGAGTATTTGCCTAAAACAATGGAAAGCATAAAAAAATCCCATGTAATTCCAATTAAAAAGAGCAGGAACTCAGTTTGACAATTTTTAAACAACATTTTCTTACATACAAGAGTGCAACAAGTATTTGTCTTCCAGACAATCCTCATTTGTCAATGTAATCCGCAAGATCTGGAGCAAATTCTCTTCTCTTCTGTACTTTGAATGTGATATTTGGTTCAGCTGGGGCCCTTGATGAAACTGGTGGGAAATCTTGGTCTAGAGGCCAAGATTCTAAAAAGTGACATCATGCTTTTTGGTGCCTCTATTTCTGGGTGCCCAACTGGAGACCTGGTGGCAGGACCTGACTTTCAGAGGGCAGGGAATGTGCTTAGTACTTTCTGTAAAAAAATCAAGTGCCTTTAAGATATCAAACAGGCACTTTAAAATCTTGGCCTTCAGAGAGTAAAATTACAAACTATTTCCAAGCTTTAAGAGGATGCCATTGGTGTGGTCAGCTTTGACCATATACCTGTAATACACAGTAGAGATGCATTGTCTTTTTTTCCTATCCTGAGAAAAGGCCCTTAATCCTACCTATCTGCTTCTGAAGGTTTGGCTTATGTCTTTAGATCTATTATGTGTTTCTTCAAAGTTTCTGATTTTACCCTTCTAGCCTTTATGGTTTCCTCCCCCAACTACCGTTCTTTTAACTCTAGCTCCACATGATGATCATTGATAAAAGTATGAGGGCTGTGATTCTAAATGCCTAGTCTCTTTCAAATCAGATATTGCTGATAATAGAACTAGCTCTAGAGCCATAGGTCACCTCAATTTTGCCAATAAAAGACTTATTTTCACTGGCTTTAAGGCCTTGAAGCTCATTGTGTGCACTGCAAAAGGGATGCCATTGAGAACAATAAGAGAATGCAAGCCACCATATTCTTTGCTTACTGTATTGAAAATGATGCTGTACCTCTGACCCTATGCTTAGCAGCAGCATTGCAAGTGTCACTGCCTCCAAGGCCTCAATTGCCATGTTAAATTTTTCCCTGCCTGCATGCACAGATGTGAGCAAGTCACCTTAGCCTACTTCTCAATGAGGAAATTAACTGTACAGATCAAGGTTCTTTCCTCATTGTCTTCATTACATTTACTACCAACAGCTCAAGGAATTTAACCAAGTTTCTTTTATTGACTTCACATGTTATGCTTGAAATTGTTATGAACAGCTATAAAAACTATGTCCCTGCCAAAGTATATAGGTCTTTAGTATGCAGGTATGTACCTCTCTTTGAAGACCCTTAGTTAAATCAGATATTCCAAGAAAAAAATATTTGCTATAGTGAAAACACAACACGAGTTAGAATTAATATTAGAAACCAGAATACAATAAGAACTGCAGAACAGAATAGGAAAGAGTCAGACTACAATAAAATCCTTAGGCAATGTACAGTGGAGCAATTTGATCCAAAGTTAGGATAAACTGTGCTTTACTTACCATCAAAGCTTTTGTACTGAGAAGTTAGGGTCACCTGTACAGAACGACTGGCTTCTTTCATCATGCCTTCAAATTCACTTCGGCTTTTGTTTGCAAAGTTCTCCTCCATCTCGCTGGTACAGCAGGTGTAGCCTTGTGGGCAGATTCTCAGGTGTTCCCCTAAAAACCAATGGAAAACCTTGTTAAAATGACTGGGTCTTAAAAAAGGAATTTAATACCAAACAATCTTAATGTAAAAGTATTCATATGAAAAAGAAAATTCAATTCTACCCTCACTTATTACGTAACTCAGAACAAAATTAGGCCCAATGTGTTTGACTACTAACACAACATATTAGCATAGCAGATGCTTGAGATTCTGGCTTTCCTATCACATGTACATGCTCTCTTTTTCTCTTTGAGCCCTGTGAGCATGAAAGCTCCTATTCAAATCCTACCCATATTTCCAGCAGAGGTTAAGGTCTCCAACTAAATTATATGATGCTTAAACTGTCATCGTTAGACTTAACACCTCCTGGAGAAAAATTGCGTGAGACTCTCTTTGCCAGAATTTTGAGGCTGTGCATCATTGCTTCTCATTCTGAAAGAGATTCCATAACCATAAAGATGAGACAGAAGAGGGGAGGTTTTCAAAGATTGATGGGGGAGTTTGAAAGCTTAAAAAGTAGGATCAGAGCACCTGAATCCCTCTGTGCCTGTTAAAACCTGTTTACCTCTATGTATACTTCTTGCTAAAACAGACTGGGACCCTCAGAAAAATGCTGATCTATCACATAACTGCTAAACAGGTTTACGTGCCAGCTCCTTCTCCTACTACAGTGGTTGCCAACCTGTCACTCATGCCTCAAGTGGCAAGCGTAGCCTCTCTGGCTAAGTACAGTCAGTCTAAAAGCCTGAGGCTGAATCGATCAAATCTTTGCAGGTTAGTCTAAGCTGCATAGATTGAACCAATAAGCAAGTGAAAAGACATTCACTATTGATTCTGGAAATGCAGCCACATGCCTGCAGTAGTGCAAGTCAGAAGGTGGGGAATACTACAGCATGCCTCCCTGCTCAGCTGAAGCAGACAGCTTGAGCCAAGGCTAGCCCACCCACCCTGTGAGGTGGGACAGGTGGGGGGAAGGGGGTGTTACAGGGGTGGTGCAAAACATCCTGGAATGCTGTGGGACTGTGAGTGAACTTGAATCTGGAGAGAATCTGGGACAGAAGTTCAATAAAACAATTTAACCTAAATCAGTTAAGTCTGATATTACATCTGTCCAGGTTTATCTTAAACCAGTTTCAGCCAGTTTGAAAGTGGTTTATATGCATTGAACTTCTGTGGTGTTACAGATCTGAACCAGTTTCTGATCACTTATACCAGTATATGTGTAATTTCTGTCCCTAGCCTTGAGTGGCACGGGGCAAATCAGGGAGGAAGCGGGAAATGGAATGGCAGACACAGCAAGAAAGCAGAAAAGTGGAACAGCAGATCAAGCAGGGGAATGGGATTAGAGTGGCACTTGGGAAGGGAGTTAAGCATACCTTGGGGCACGCCTGCCAAAAAAGTTGGCCTCCACTCTTATTACCTTGCATTTGAAAACAAACAAACAACAAAACCAAAGATTCAACCTCACTACTTACTGAGGGGCCAACCAGGGACAGAAATGAGCTACAAGGGAAAAATTCCTCTCTTTAAATTAAAGCATTGCTGATAACTGGCAGAAAAGACATGGAACTCTGAAGTGCAAGAGAACATAGCCTGATACACTGGACAAATATCAACAGCGTGGAAGTTCATCCACTGTCTTGTGTAGGCACTTGTCTGTACTGTGGCAAAATAAGTATTTGTTACATTCCAGGGAATTATGTGTAGAAAAACTCAGAAATATGCAAAATTAGTTACTTTAAAAAAATGAAACTAAATATAACACTATTTGAATCTTCTTTGGAAACATAAGCAGTTACTTTGTATGGTTGTGGGGTAGGGGTGGGGTGTATGAGCAGGGGAATTTGTGAAGGCATGGAAGGGTGCATGTGAAGGGGGTTGACGACAGGTCTGGGGCTTGAGGGGGGTGTGGGTATGGGAGTATGTGGGGTTTGTGGGCAGGTGTGGGGTTTGTGAAGGGGTGTGGCAGGTGCATGTGGGGTTTGTGGATGGGTGTGAGGGGGTAAGGTGTGTAGAGGTATGTTATATATCCCCCCCACATGGTGTACAGCGTCCGCTTGTGGCACTGCAGGCAGAAGCCATGCGCCATTGGGTCTGACAGGCTCTGTGTCTCCATGTGGGGCTTTCAGCACTCCCGTGGGAAGCCATATGTGGAGGCAAGCAGGAGCCTGCCTGGCCTAATGGTGCGCAGTTCCCCGTCCATATACCATTGTTTTTAAGATTCCTTCTAAAAAGAGACCTCTACCTGCAACCACACCCTCAAATTCCCCCAACATTGAGAATATGCTTGAATAAGATCAAACTTAAAAAAAAAAAAAAAAAAAAGCAATCTTGTTCTAACCGTGCACTGAGATAATCCAATTATAGCAAAAGCAACATGTTTAATGTAATTTGATTGTGACTGCCAACAGCTTTGCTGGCAATTTTACAGGATTGCTACCTCAATGTCGCAGCGGATCTAAAACATATACTTAAAATTGTTTCTCATCACATTTACTTTGTCTGCATTGCAAGCCCTCCAAAATGGAGAATTTCCCTTTAAAAATGAATGACAGCTCCACAGACATAAACCTGACTCAAATGGGACCTTAGGCTACAGGCTCTTCAAAGCAGGGAACGTGTCTTACCCTGAAACACACTATATAGGTTTGTGGCACTATAGAAAATGACTTTTTTGGTGGGCAAGGATGGTTTTGTGTGTGTGCGTGTAAAGAGGCATTATTGCACAATAATAATATGGTAGTCTAAGAGTGATATTGCAGCCATGTAGTTCTTAGAAATTCTTGCTTCACCTAGTTTCTGGACCATCACAGCTACATGACTCTTATATTACAATAATGTGGAAGATATTGAAACTCGCTGCTTACAATGGAAAATCCTCAACCTCAAGAAAAGAGTCACCAGACTACAAGGCAACATCTTCAATATCATCCAAAGAAATACTTGCCTCTCACAATGTCATCTATTATTTGTTGGGTTGTATGCAAGGGATCCTTGCACCTATATAGCATAACCAGTTCTGCAACCATCTTTGCAAGGGGGGAAAGAACATAATTGTGTCAATGTCTGTCTTCTAGGCTAGGGACAGAAATTACACATAAACTGGTAAACGTGATTGGAAAATGGTTCAAATCTGTAACACAACAGAAGTTCAGTGTACATAAACCACTTTCAAAATGGCTGAATCCAGTTTAAGATAAACCTGGATGGATACAGTATTAGACTTAACTAATTTAGGTTAAATTGGTTTATTGAACTTCTGTCCCAGATTCCTTCCAGATTCAAGTTAACTCATAGTTCCCCAGCATCCCAGGATGCTTTGCACCTTCCCCACAAACCCCCTCACAAGGTGGGCAGGGTTCTCTTGGCCCAAGCTGTCTGTTCCAGCTCAGCTGGAAGGTGTGCTCTTGCATGTCCTTGCTTCTAGCCTGGGCCACTGCACACATGTGACTGCATTGTCAGAATCAAAATTGAATGTCTGTTCACTCGCTTATCGGTTCGGTTTACGCAGCTTAGACTAACCTGTAAAGATTGAATTGATTCAGCCTCAGGCTTTTTGACTGTCTGTACTTAGCCCTAAGGGTAAACGACAAACTGTTCAAGGCCTGAACTTATAAGGGTGGGATCAATGGGAGCACTTTTCATCAGCTCTAGTAGAAGCAGAAGGTTCATGAAGTCTCTACTTGATTCTGCCTCTAACCTGCTGCTTCCCATCCTAGACAAGGCCTCTTCTTTAGGCTTTCTGAATCCTCCCACAGAAGACTTGCCAAGCATACTTGTTCTTGTTTTCTTGAACCTTATTTCTTTCTAAGGACCCTCCCCCTGCATATGCTAATGATTATGCATTGCTGACGTCTCTCTTTAACTTACTTGAGATGACTAACTACAGAAAAGCAAGAAAGTTACTTCAAGCAAGACCAGGTAAGACTAAACCCCAAGGTTCAGCCCCGAGTCTCTACTTGAGAGCAGACAAGATAGCACCAGTCAGCTAACGCCTGCAGATGGATTTTCATGCAAGGTGATGTCTGCTATCCTGAACCATGCCCTCAAGTTTTGCATCTACAAAATGTATATTTGTGGACATGCAATTCAAGGGAGGGGGAGGTAGGCTGGCTATCGAGGTACCTCAAGAATAGAGGACAGCTGCATTTAGTGCAACTGTTCCCACAACCATAAACATTGCGTGCCTCCCAACGCTGGAGGGTGGGGCATGGCAAGTTCCTGCAGGAGGCGGTGGCAGTGTCAGTGGTGAGGGTGTGGCAGCAGTGAGCAGGGAGCTCCTGCAGGCAGCGGTGGCAATGTCTGTGGTGGGCTGAGTGGAGAGCTGCCACAGGTAGCCGCAGCAGTGTTGGTGGTGGGCCGAGCGGGGAGCTCCCGCAGGCAGCCACAGCAACGGGGAGGAAGGGGCAGGGTGCCAAGCGGTGAAAAAACACAGGACATAAAGGCGTCTGGTTTCATATCAACAGAGGATAGAGGACCAGAAAACTGAACTGTCCTCCGTAAAACTAAATGAATGGCCACCCTGGGGGGGAAGGGGAATAGAGGTCTGTCTTGAAACATGAACGGTAAGGTGTTGCCAACACCTGTAATTTTATTTCAAGTATTACAATATTAGCGTTTTCCATCTCTGCCCCCAGATTCATGCAATTACAGAGGATTCTGTTTTGAGAAAATAGGAAGCTTCTAGCTCTGCTTGTTGTAGAGAAACCCTGAAGGCTGCAACATCAAAAGGCAACCAAAAAGAATCCTCACGTGTATTTATTCTTTAAAAGTTCTGCAAATTTTAAACGAATCTCATGATTCCAAGGTCTACATTTTTCATTCAGAACAACTTGTGCTGGCAGAACCGAGTCCTCTGTACCCTTCTAACATATGTGTGCTCTGGCAATTGCTAACTGGCAGCACATTGTTTCTCTGTATCATTTAATTATAGCGCTTGTCCCTTCTTTTCCACTCTAGAGGGAGATTATTCCTGCTTCTCAGTCAGGCTTCTGCAGCAAAGCATTCAACA